GCAGAGAGCATTAATCAGCTAGTGCTCAATGATCGCAGCATCACGCTCCAAAAGGACTTCTCGGAGGCACTCGGTGCTGGCTGGCGTCTTGGGTTTCTTGGGAGCTTGCACTGCTCAGTCTTTCAGGACCGTCTCCGGCAGGAACACGGTGCTAGCATCATCATCACCGAGCCCTCAGTCCCGTCCCGCGTCATCTGGCGCGATGGAACCGAGACCGTAATCACCAACCCAGCAGAGTTTCCGAGTCCCGAAGACCCTCGTGTTCGTGGCTCAAGGTTCTTCGAGCCCTTTGTGAACTCAACCATCACTCTACCAGAGGAGTATCTTGGTCGCGTCATCGAGCTGTGCGAAGCAAATCGCGGCGAACAGATCAGCATAGAGTTCTTCCATGCGACACAAGTCATTCTCAAGTACGCATTGCCATCTTCAAGCCTGGTAGACGACCTCTTCGGCAAACTCAAGGGCGCAACCAAGGGATACGCAACACTAGACTACGAAGACGCTGGCTGGCGGGAGAGCCAACTATCCAAACTCCAGCTGCTTGTCAACAAGAAGCCTGTCGATGCAATCTGCCGTGTTGTACATAGTAGCCAAGTCGATCGTCTGGGCAAGCAGTGGGTTGTCAAATTCAAGGAACACGTGGATCGCCAGATGTTCGAGGTGGTTATCCAGGCGGCGGTAGGAAGGCGGATCATCGCGCGGGAGACGCTCAAGCCCTTCCGCAAGGATGTGTTGGCAAAACTTCATGCCAGTGATATCTCGCGGCGGAGGAAGCTGCTAGACAAGCAAAAAGAGGGCAGGAAGAAGCTGAGGGCGATTGGGAATGTTGTCATTGACCAGTCGGCTTTCCAGCGATTCTTGCAGAGGTGAAGTCTCTTGTATATTTATGTATGCGTACTTCCCAGCATCGCCGGCGGCGTTAGAGAATTGACTCTTTCTCTCTTTTCTATTTTTTAATTTTTTGGCATATTCTTCGTCATGGCTCGTTGACTGGAAGGGAACTAGAGGCGATAGAGGTGCCTGAGAAGGTATCTGAGGTCTCTAGATATCGCAAAAAAAAAAAAAAAAAAA